CTGCTTGTATCTCTTTGCACCCATTCTTACTTGATCGTTTGAGTGCCTTGCAGATACGACTCCCATTTCTCCTCAACTTTCCAACAAGCCAGATATCATCCTTTGGTCCATTTGCAGGTTCTGATCAACCGGTAAGATCAAAAAACATTGAAACCAAACCCTTACCTTTGTTGGAGACAAAAATAAGAAGGAATGAACATGAACCATGAAGAATTGAGCACTTAGCAGAATAGAAGAACTTAGTGTGAAGAACTTAAAGAATAGAAGAAATTAAACATGACTCAAACATAAACAAACTTAGAAAACTTAACAAACTATAAAGTTACAGAGACAAGTTCATAAACACTTATATGTTCATGATGAAAACCTGAATAAAAAAGGGTGAAATTCCACAAAGAAGACATAGTTAACTAAATAAAACATTGTTCAAAATTAATTAAAACCAAAACAAACTGACAAAGTCAAAATCATAACCTTAACCACTCTTGATCTGTATAGATTAATCAACTGAAAACAACAATAAAAATAAAGTATAACAAACAAATCCTAATCACCTGTAGAGTGAGAGAATCGGTTCAAAGTCTTTAAACACCTGTAAACAACAACAATCATCAAAAACCCTAAATTAAAAATAGTAGATTCAGAAACCCTAATTAAAAAATCCTAAATCAAAAACTCTAACTAACAAACTTGAGTGAGAGAGCTGGGAGCATGTTGCGAGAACCTTCGATAACCATTAATTTATGAGCGAAGAGTTGGATTTGGGTAGAAATGAGAGAGTGAGAGACGTCGGTAAATAAGGAGAATGAGAGAATCTGGTAAGTGAGAGAACTAGAGAGTGAAACGGGGAGAGAAACACGAGAGAGTGATGCGAGTGAATGTCTGACTTAGGTATTACCCCCCCCCCCCCCCCCTTCCCCCCCCCCCCCCCCCTTCCCAAAATGCACAGTTTTTTATTGGGCATATCTGGGTACCCGTGAGACTGCTTTTGATACACGGCCCGCCCTTCTAAACCCCCTTTAACTTATTTTTCAACCTGATTGACCCGTCGAACCCATTCAAAATGCCTAAATGCTTTTTATTTTTCGGTTTTATTTGGGTTACTTTGGGTGGGCGGGTTTTGTCCACCCCTAATAATAGCATTCCAATAGCCAAATAGTACTAGAAAAAAACTCCCTGAAGCTCACCCAATAGACAGACCAGGGTGCCTACTTTGATGCCAATTAAAGTTCTAGCACTAGTACACACATGTTCATACTGATGTTTTTAACATCAGAACATGATGTCAGGACAGATGTTACGACATATGTGGATAGACTGAACAACAATATCAAACTGGAATAATATGTAAAATTTAAATACAGAATGATAAAGAACACAGTCAATTGTTAACCCAATTCAGTTCAACATCACCTACATCTGGGGCAACCATGTCAGGAAGGAAACCCACTATAATAGTATTAGTTCAAAGCCTAAAAGTCCCAGTTTACAACTTCACTCCTAATCACTATCCCGTGCAACTTCTACCTAGAAATCACCATCTCACTTTCAATCACTACAGTGATATACCTACAGCCATAAACCTTGTGACTAGACTTAAACCAATCTCAATCACAATGATGGTATAAAAGAAAAACCAAAAGAAGATTACACTTCAAATCAACAATACTTGGTTAAGACTCTTGACTAAGAACAATACTTGGTGTTTCTTAAAAGCTTCAATCAAGAACAATACTTAACTCATTACCTAAAGGCTTGTGAGTGAGAATATCATGTCTACCACAAGTATCCAAAGATACAAGGGATACTTACAAACACAAGAACACAAGAGACTCTCAAAATATAAACCCTTATTTCAATTAAAAATTCAAGAAATACTTTGCCCTAGGTCTTGGTCTTCCTTTTATAAGCTTCAACTATCCATGGGCTTCGAATTTTCTGGTCAATTATTCCTTGATCCACAAGTTGAAAGTTGTACATATTATGTAACAGAATCTCCTTAAATATTGGAACAAATAAAATCAAGTTTTCTAAATTTTCTCTTCATCCAAATTTAGAAACTCTTGTATAATTGTAAATCAAATCAATTGTTACAGATTAAATCTTCTTAACCTGCGAAAATATGTGAGATATATCCAAAAGGATCTCATCAAATCAAATATGTCAAGAGATATAAAACAACAGTGCCTATTGTACCAGACCATGATGTCATGACATCTGCTTCAGCATCTGGTTTAAAAACTCATAACACCAAAATTGTCATGAAAATTGATAAAGATGCTACAACATCTTAATCGACATCAAAATAGAACCATGTTTTACCAAAATTTAGCCAATCATAAAACCACAGAACTATCAAAAATTACAAAAGTTCCCCTTGTGATGAATCTAAGTGTGTTTGAGCACTAGTTTGGTTTGGTTTTGGCATAAAATGATGCCTAAACCGGTACAAATATTGATTTGTTTGGATTGGATTTTCACATTACGAAAAAGACCAAACAAAACTAAATTGAGAAACAACATATTGGTTTGGGTTGGACTGACCGATACATTAAAAACAAATGTGAATAAATATTTAGAGAAAAAAAACGTATTTAGGGTTACTAATTTTCAATAATACTATAAAAACACTAAACTAATTTACAGAAATATTTTCATTAGTATGAGATCAATTATCAACAGTAGACTAGCAATTTTTTATGGCAGATTTAATAATATCTAGCAGCAAACTCATTATTATGATAATGATGATATGAGTTATGCAAAATAATTATGGTCTTTTCTAGTAGACATGCTTATGGGTATAATATTAGAAATTTATTATCAACTAATTAACATCAAATTTCATTTATTTGGTTCAGTTTTTGTCTGAATTGAAAAAAGTTTAACCGAAACAACCATGGCTTGGTTTAGATTTTGTTTTGTTTTGAATTTTCCTGAATCAATGAGCACCCATATATAGATCCTTATGAATGGTTATGATATATATATATATATATATATATATATATATATATATATATATATATATATATATATATATATATATATATATATATATATATATATATATATATATATATATATATATATATATAGTGCATGATCTTTGATTATGAAACATATTGATCGTAACACAAACGACAATGCATCCACTCCTTCCACATGAATAGAAATTGAAACAAGTGATTCCCCGCCATATGATGCTAGATGTGAATGGACAAAAGTCTTAGAAAGAAGAAGAACTCAAAATCCTAGTTTGACTAGATTTTGACAATGCATAAATGGGTGACTGACACTTTAGTATAAGGAATGTATTTATAGAACCACTAACATTCATTATAGCTCATTATGTATAATGTTTCTCTAATTAGAAATAGTGCATCGTATGAATGCACCGCCAAGTTATAAATTAATCTTATTCATTTATTTAATCTCTCATTTATCTGTTCTTATGTGTGTGACTTTATAGATTTTTATAACGTTGGTGATAATATTAAATCACTTATATAAAATTATAAATAGATAGCAGTACTTAGTAACACATCACTGCTACCTAAATCTCGGGAATGACATGTGATCTGACATAACCTTTCTGTCATAACGATCATGTGTATAATGATTATTTAAGACAAGACATGGTTTGTGTTATGGAACTATGTGCTTGCAAGTATAATTAAGAAGTGATCAAAGCTCATAGATAAGCAAGATATGTCTATCCCTGATGGTGTCATGGTTTTAATGATGACATCACTTGCTGTTAACAAGCTTAAAGACAACCAAATAGTGATGTTGACTCAAGAAGTCAATGATGCCCGTGATGGTTGATTAAACTATTCCTTAGAATTAAGCTAAAGAATTAGGATTTATGATCACCAGTGAGAACTTTACTCTCTAATAATGGTAACTAACTTGAATATATCTCAAGTCTCAAGATGTCTCAAGTGAAGTGCTTATATGATTAGTATATCCATCAAAATAATTTTAAGCTTCAAAATATGAAAGAGAAGAATGGTGAAAGCTTGCATGATCGTGTTTGTATGAGTGGTCAGAATAAAAGCACAAGAGATTTTTTAGAAGTATTATGGCTAAAACACACACACACACTAAAAAGTATTTTTGACATTTTTTCCAGCATCCAACGCAGGCACAACGCGGGAGACCAAAGTTTTTTTCCTTTCGAGTGCATTTAAAAAGAGGAACAAATCAACAAATAAGAAGAAATACAAGCTTACATACCACAAATGAAGCAATAATATGATATATAGTAAAGAGTTTCTTCCTCTCCTCAGTAGATCTTGCATCGACGATATCTCGACAATGAATTTGAACAACAGAAAAGGAAAGAAGAGTCGCCTTCATGGTCTTCTCTTCATCGATAAGATCATCGTACGAAATAGAGTAAGATTTAGCAACCTCTGAAAAGTGATTTGGATACCAAAATCATCTCCTTCAATCAACACACACAACGAATCTGAAGAAGGAGTTTAAGTGACGTAGAATTCAATGTGAGCAAGATGGAAATGGGGGTAGCCAGGAAGTAGTCAGTCTTAACCTTTTTCCTGGTGTCTATGTAAACGACAAAGACTTTATTGTTAGCACGATGAAGAGAAACGATATTGTAACTGTTTTCCTTCTTAGAGACAGGGTTGACCTCAAAGAGTTGGAAGAAGAGGTTCTTGGAGGCTAAACCCATGTCTCCTTGGTACTCATTTGGCTACAGGAATATCCTCACAAAGGCCCAAGCAATTCAATGAAGCTACGAGGGAGGAATATGACGGTGGTCGAGCACTTCTTTCTTAAAAGCAATTAACAGAAGTCAGACGTCCAACTTTTAGAAGAAGCAGTCATAGAAAGGAATAGAACGCCCTTCAGACTTGTTGCATATCCATTTATATGCGGGAATCTTCGAGATCATCCAATTTGAAGGTGATCCCTCCTCAAAGTAAGCTACCATAACAAAATCCTATCGGATATAAGGGGAAAGTGTTCCTAGATACTCAGGGGACACCTAAGATTAATCGTTCATGTTGGTCATTGCCATCAGATCCTCTAATTGATTGAATCTTATGTCTGCATTACAAAGTAAATCAGATTGATTAGCAACAATAGGGTCTTTGTAAGAAAGGTTTTCCCCAAGAGATTGAATGGAGCAACATGTTTCTCGCATTGATATGTCAGACTAAACAAGCCCTTAGTCTTACTTAGCGTGAGCCAGAAAAGCGGTGCATACGACAATATCACTCATTTGTGAATCACCATCATCGTTGGAGGAATCTAACCCCGATCCAGAGTCACCTGGAGGCGTATCTGGGGAGAGGATAGGGAAGTTTCGACCATAGAGAAGTTCTAAAAATTTGGGGTTCTCCACTCCTGTAGACAATGAAGACTCTTCACCGGTGAGCTCGAGAGCACCGTTCACTAGAACATTCCATGGATTAACGATGATTATGTGTAAAGAGGGTACAATGACGTATCTATAAATGATAAAGAGAGATAAGGCGAGGTTACAAACGAGAAGCAGTTAAAGGTCCAAATGTTGATGCAAGAGAGTCGGTAGCCAAACCCAAAAAAAAAAAAGAGATGAGCAGAGAATTCAAGAAAGCAAAAAGGGACTTTGGGGGGCAAAACCTAGTTTTTATAAAGAAGTCAGTCGTTAATCAATGGTGCAGATAAAAAACAAGAGAAAGATCTAAAGACAACAAGTCAATTGTCTCGTCATAGAGAACGAAGAGCCAAAAAATCTCAAGTACCAAAATATAAGAATTTTTCTCTAACATACATACCTAGAGTTACATGTTGGGAGCAAGGATTAAAATGTTTCAACAATGAGAAAGTATTTAATGTGCTTCTCCCGACCCACTACTTTTTCAGTCGACTCCAAATATTCTCACTTCTAGTTCAAGGCAAACAACTTCCTTTAGACCAACCATGACTGATAAAGGTTTTCCCGACTCCTTAACGCTAGACAAGCCTTGGAGGCAACTGTTCTGGGTCGGCCAAAGGCCTAAATTACTAAGGCTCAAATCAATACAAATTCACTCCACATGACCCAAGATATAAAATTCATCTCACACGAAATACAAGTTACACTTTTCTCATCCTCACTTTTCATGACACTCATCTTGAATTTTAAAATGACTTAGATATCAAAGTGTTAACCTTATAGATCTACCCCAAGTCAGCGTACCAAAGAGCAACACCACCACTTCAAGATTCTGCACGATCCGATTACATCCAATTCTGATTTCATAAATATAGCATAAAATTGTAGGATAATATTTGTTAGTTTTGACAAATGAAAGTTAAAAGTTTTACCATATGAACATCATTTTTATTCATACTATGAGATTTTGATGGTTTGTTCACTTTGTGTAATCGCTTTTAAATAATTTCCTAGACTCCTCTCTCAGTCTCACGACGCAAATATTACTACACATGGAGTACAGAACATATAGTATATGGACAGAACCAATACACAATGCTTTAAATATAATAATTGAGTTTTACACAACTTTTGTAAATAAATACATATAGATGAAGATGTCCAATCTCTAGAATGTAGATCTGCCCAGCAGGGCAGCATATGAGTCAATCTTTATGCGCTCAAAACTTAACTTCTTTCTTCACAATAATTGTTCTAGTCAACAACACGAGGTGTAAGTGCAACATAATTTATTTTATTAGTATAACATTATCAAATCTTCTGTTAGGAAAGAAAAAAAACATTATTAAAACCTTACACGTGATTCAGTTGCGCAGACAACATGGTTTTGAGTTTTGACTGTTGACCCACTGATTTGCTAGCATGTCTTAATTATGAATCATTTGTACTTGAATCCTAGTTAGTCCTATCAGTGTCTAAATTTGTTTGAATGAAATTTGTACCGTTACATTAGTTTGGGAGGAAAAGGATTGAAAGAAAGAAGTTGAAGTAAAAATTCTCAATGCTCTTTTTAAATAGAAACTATGAAAAATCCACAACATTTGTACACCTTAATATTGGAGGAGCAAAAGGCGAAGTTATGATCATAGTAGGTTTGCATAAGTACATATTCATAAATGCTCCTATAAGAAAACATATTCTTAGGATAATTACTTCATAGCTAAAAAAACATACTAGTATATATTAGTCACAAAAGTACATAATATAATGTTCTAGAAATATTATATATAGAAGAGTCATTTTTGAATGATCTAAAGATCATTTTTGAAGAGTCTTAGACAAAACGTTTAGTCTATCTGCTTGTTTCTTTGGTTGTGACTTTGGATTAGCTAATGTAGATTTTCTCAAGTGGGGTGGTTTTTTTGGCTTTTCTGCATCTTAATCAATGACGTGGACATGGAAACAAACATCGTTTGGAAGTTATTGATGTGGCCTTGAGAAGTTCAAACGTTTGGTTTCATCCTATGTCTCAGATGAATGATTCCTCTAGGTAAGAATATGTTAAGAACATTTAATATATAAAAGTGTGAACTTGAATTCGCAAAACTTCTAATCTCCACACTTAATGTACAAGAGTGTTGTTAAGTGTTATTTAAAATAATAAAAATATATATAAGCAGGTTGTGGGATTTTGGATCGAACTCTAGTTGGTCGAAGTATTTGCTGTAGTCGAAGAAGGTTCTAGCACGTATTTGTCGAAGGATGCTTGTCGAATTAGGTTTTAGTGTTTAAACCCTAATTTGTTAAGTTAGCTTGTTTGTTAAGTTAGCTTGTATAATGGGCCTTGTGGAAAAAGCCCATTAGTTAGTATGTTAGGTTTTATTATAAATAGCATACTAGTCTCTCATCATTGCCAACACAGCAAATCCTAATTTAGGGTGAGAGGGTTATTTGTTATCCTTGTAAACTTGTAATCTTGTTTTCTAAGAGAAAGTAAAGAATAGCAGTTATAACCAATTCTTGTGTTCTTCTTCTTCCTTGTTCTTTATTCTTCCCTTATTCTATACTTTGTTATTGGCATTGAATTCACAACAAATTGGTGCGGTGAGCGTGGAGAAGATGCCTTCAACAAAGTATGAGATCGAAAAGTTCACCGGAGTGAATGATTTCGGTCTATGGCGCTTGAAGATGAAAGCTCTACTGGTTCAGCAGGGTTGTTTGGAAGCGTTGAAGGGAGCGACGGCGATGGACGCTGCGCTAACAGAAAGAGAGAAGACGGCCATGATCGAGAAAGCACACAGCGCAATTTTGTTGAGCCTTGGTGATAAGGTTCTTCGACAGGTATCAAAGGAGACGACGGCATCAGGGTTATGGGTGAAACTTGAAAGTTTGTATATGACCAAATCTCTGGTAAATCGACTCTACCTGAAGCAAGCTTTGTATTCATTCAAGATGATCGAAGACAAAGTGTTGGCTGAGCAGTTGGATATGTTCAACAAGATGATCCTTGATCTTGAAAATATTGATGTAAAGATTGATGATGAAGATCAAGCGTTGTTATTGTTGTGCGCTTTGCCCAGATCACATGCTCACTTCAAAGAAACCCTCTTGTATGGAAGAGAGTCCCTGACCTTTGAAGAAGTTCAATCAGCCTTGTACTCTAAGGACTTGAACGAACGTAAGGAGCATAAACCTTCGACGGTTGGTGAAGGTTTGGCTGTTAAAGGAAAATTCGACAAGAAGAAAGGTAAAAATCAGTCGAAGTCTTATAGTGGTGACACATCTGGTATTAGATGCTATCACTGTAAGAAAGTAGGTCACACAAGAAAGGTGTGCCCTGAACGCCTGAAAGATCATGGAGGTAAGGATAATGGCAATGCAGCTATTGTCCAAGATGATTTCGAATCATCTGATGTTCTTGTGGTTTCAAGCAACAACTCGTCGAAGGAGTGGATTATGGATTCTGGATGCACTTGGCACATGACTCCAAACAAAGACTTGTTCGAGGAATTATGTGATCAAGATGGTGGATCGGTATTGCTGGGAAACAACAAAGCTTGCAAGATTGCAGGCGTTGGATCTGTGAGATTCAAGCTCCATGATGAGTCAATAAGACTGTTGACTGAAGTCAGGTATGTACCTGATTTGAAGAGAAATTTGATTTCTCTTGGTGAATTCGACAAGAAAGGATATGTTTTTCAAGGAGAGAAAAGTATCCTGAGAGTCATGAAAGGGTCGAAGGAAGTCTTGAGAGGCATGAAGAAACAAGGCTTGTATACCCTTGAGGCTGAAGTTGTAAGTGGTTCGACAAATGTTGCATCCACGAAACCTTTGTCGAAGACAGAAATTTGGCACATGAGATTGGGCCATGTCAGTGAAAGGGGTCTGGTCGAATTAGGGAAACAAAATCTGCTTGGTGGAGATAAAGTCGAAAAGCTGAAGTTTTGTGAACCCTGTGTACTTGGAAAGTCCTGTAGAATGAAGTTCAACAAAGGCAAACAAAGAACACATGGATCCCTTGATTACATCCATGCTGATCTTTGGGGGCCTGCAAGGTGTCCATCACATTCAGGAGCAAAGTATTTTCTATCCATAGTAGATGACTATTCCAGAAAGTTATGGGTATTCATCCAGAAGACTAAGGATGAAACTTTTGAGAATTTCAAAAGTTGGAAGACTCTTGTCGAAAATCAAACTGGCAGAAAGGTAAAGAGGTTGAGAACCGACAATGGCCTTGAGTTTTGCAATGAGGCGTTCGACAGTTTTTGTGTTGCCTCTGGTATTGCAAGGCACAGAACTACCGCAGGTACTCCTCAACAAAATGGTTTGGCTGAAAGGTTTAATCGAACTATTTTGGAGAGAGTTAGATGCATGTTGACTAGTGCGGGATTAAAGAAGGTGTTTTGGGCTGAGGCTGTTTCGACAGCAGCATATCTGATAAACAGATGTCCTTCGACAGCGTTAGATATGAAGACACCTGAAGAAGTTTGGTCGGGACATCCACCAGATCTCGACAAACTAAGAGTATTTGGCTGTGTAGCCTATGCTCACATTAGGCAAGACAAGGTCGAACCTAGAGCTCTGAAATGCATGTTTATGGGATACCCTGAAGGAGTAAAAGCTTATAGGCTATGGTGCCTAGAGCCAGGTCACAGGAGGTGTATCACCAGTCGAGATGTAGTTTTCAATGAAACGGAAATGGCTTTCAAGAAAACTGATGATGCTGACGAAGAGCTGGAACAGGTAGAGATTCCTGTTGAGGTGGAGCATGTTGATGCTGAAATGCGTATCCCAGATGAAGTCGAAGAAGAAACAGAAGATTCTGATGATGTTGAGGAAACTGTCGATGACTACCTATTGTCGAGAGATAGGCAAAGAAGAGTCATAAAACCACCTCAGAGACTTGGATATGCAGATCTTGTAGCTTATGCCTTAATCTCTGCAAGTGAAGTTCTAGACGAAGAACCTAGAGATTATAAGGAAGCTATAAGGAGTCGAATGAAGACTGAATGGCTAAAGGCCATGCATGATGAGATGAAATCTCTTCATGATAATCACACTTGGGAACTAATCAAGAAACCTGTTGGGGCAAGGTTAGTCAACTGTAAGTGGATTTTCAAAGTTAAGGAAGGAATTGAAGGAGTAATGTCGAAAAGGTACAAGGCAAGATTAGTCGCAAGGGGTTTCACTCAGAAAGAAGGTGTCGACTTCAATGATGTATTTTCCCCTGTTGTGAAGCACAGATCCATCCGAATGTTGCTTGCCATGGTGGCTCAATTCGACCTTGAACTGGAACAAATGGATGTGAAGACTGCGTTCCTGTATGGTGACTTAGATGAAACAATCCTGATGAGGCAACCTGAAGGGTATGTCGAAAAGGGGAAAGAAGATTATGTGTGCAAACTGAAGAAATCTTTATATGGACTCAAACAATCTCCTCGACAGTGGAATAAGAGATTCGACAAGTTCATGGAACACATAGGTTTCATTAGAAGTCAGTTCGACCACTGTGTTTACTCCAGATTTCGACCTGAAAATTCATTTGTTATTTTGTTGCTTTATGTTGATGATATTCTGATAGCAAGCAACAATGTCGAAGATGTAATGAGGGTGAAGGCTGAACTCAATAAGGAGTTCGACATGAAGGATCTGGGAGCTGCATCTAGGATTCTTGGAATTGACATTCGAAGAGATAGAAAGCAGTCGAAATTATGCTTATCTCAAGAGGCATACCTACGAAAGATTCTTGACAAGTTTGGTATGACGAATTCAAAACCTGTTGTGACTCCAACAAACCCTCAATTCAAGCTGAGCATTGATCAATGTCCCAGTACTGATGTCGAAAGAACCTATATGAATAGCATCCCATATGCTAATATAGTTGGTTCTTTGATGTATGCTATGGTCTGTACTAGACCCGATATAGCATATGCAGTAAGTCTTGTAAGCAGGTACATGGCGAATCCTGGAAAGGCTCACTGGCAAGCGTTAAAGTGGATTCTAAGGTACATAAATGGGTCTCTGAACAGAGTCTTAATTTATGGTGGAACCTTGGGTGAAGATAGTAAAGCAGCAGTCGAAGGCTATGTTGACTCTGATTATGCAGGATGTATGGATTCCAGGAAATCTATTTCTGGATATGTTTTCACTATGTTTGGTACAGCAATTAGTTGGAAAGCAACTCTTCAGAAGGTTGTTGCCTTATCAACTACTGAAGCAGAATATATTGCCCTAACTGAAGCTGTGAAAGAAGCATTGTGGCTTGAAGGTTTTGCGAAGGAGCTAAAACTTCAAGGTCAAGGTATCACTGTTAAATGTGATAGTCAAAGTGCAATACACCTGTCGAAGAACTCAGCCTATCATGAGCGAACCAAGCACATAGA